AATGCTCAACCGAATATGTGAGGCAATTTGGAAATCTTAGAGATTTGCGGAGAGATCAAGAGATGAAATATCAACTACTTGGAGAGGAAAAAAACAACCAAATATGACTTACCTTTGAAACGCTTTTGGGGTATTGATGGTCCACAGGAACATTTCGAAACTTCAATGGCGCTCTGTCGCTTCTGCGATTTTGCGAGAAACTCTTCCATACAGTGGCATGAGAATGATTGTTGTCAACGTCCAGACCAGTCAGATATATCAGACATTTCGGTTTTAACTGTAGTTCCTGAGGTATTTTTTCAATGTCCTCCATCTGGAATATTCAATCTTTGTATAAGAGACCGAATGATACTCAATGCGAAGATGAAAAAGTCCGATTTCCAAAGGTGTAATAGGTAAACGCCCATAACTGTAAGGTGTCTCGGAGTGAGATGATAATTAAATATTTAAATAGACTGTACATTTATTGCTGGTAATTGGCATCATATCAGTGACCGACTCGCTGAAGGCAACCGGCTGACTGTGGCTGGTTTCAAGTTAGAAGAGCCAAGACAGCACGCTTTGACTTGGTAGCCAGAATAATAGTGTCACCAGACAGGCTGGAGCAGGACACTGAGGCCCTCTTCCTCGTGGCAATTCAACGTATCTTTCGGTATTATAAACTGAAAGCGCCACAACTTATCACCAAGCGTAAAAAGTTGAAGGTTGCATGATAGTCAGTGGATAACATGAATTGATCTTGCTTTGGAACGATAGCACGATTGTAAATTTTACATTTATAGCACCTTTGATACATGTCAGACCCCACGCCAAATGATTCGTTAAATGTCGACTTCACGTGGTCTCAAGTCCATCTCCGGTCGACCTTACCAGTGCATAAGAAAAAGGTGTTGTCGATGCAGTTGGAATTCAGCGTTGTGTTTCCATATTACCAAAACTCGCTATCGTTAGCGACAATTAAGAGGACTATTCAGTCCCTGCGACTACGCTAGCCTTTGGCCATCTTTATTTGCTCTTCGTCGGTGGAGTATAGTGGAAAATTTGGGACATCGGCATATGACACGTAACGAACCGTCAAAAAGGTCAAACTAAAAAACCTCGGATCATGAGGCAAAAAGATCAGTTGATGACGATTCAAGTTTATACTGAGACTTTTAGAGAGTCTAGGGCTACCAACGTGTGGTGATTAATTGAAGGACAATTCGGTATCCGATCAATTACAAAGGAAACCTAACAGCGAACAACAGACGTAATTGACGACTTAATTAACCCGTATCACGAAGCACCTTATCAAACCAATTAATTAAGGGGGAAAACTCGACTTCCCACGGCATTCGTTAAGACCGCTACATTAATTTAGCAGTGCGCTGTGTTTAAGTGTTAATATGCTATTTTAAAGACCACTGTGGCGAATAATTCACCACTACGGGCGACGTCGTGTAAAGATTAATGAAAAACACTGAACAATCTGTCCCCAGCGTTCTAAACTAGCGCTTCTGGGTCTTTTTGCATCCAAATCCTCCCCCCTCAAACGGGCCGCGTGACAGATAGGCTGGACCAAAGGGGGAGCCAGATCAGGTTACGACAGGCATTATCCGGATTGCGCTCACAT